ACCACGCGGTACTGCTGCAGTGTCTGTGCCTCCCGCTGCAGCCAGGCCTCCAGGGACACCTGCTTCTGCTGGAGGGCCGTCTCCCGGCTCAGGCGCTCCTGGGGGTTCAGCTGGGCCAGCTGGGCAAACTGAGCTGGAGGAGGGGACACGACACCCACCACCATCACTCCTGGCATCCCCAGGAAGCCCACAGCATTCCCACTCACTTGTTCTGGAGCAAGACCTCCAGGGTCAGACACCCCACTGATGGCAAGTGGGCTTCCTACCTACAGTCGCCGGTGCCCAAAGATGAAGACGCTCCCTCAGAAGGCAGCCTCTGGGCTCTGGTCACTGGCCTCCTGACCCAGCCTCCCTTTTGGGCAGTGGGTGTGCTCAGGACCCTGCTCACCCCCAAACCCCTCTGGGTGAACTCTGCAAATCACTTTCTTTCCTGGGTCTCCGCTCCCCACACGTAAAATGGGAGAATCCTGGCAAATGCTCAGTGCCTTGCCGTGGACTTTAAAGGAATGACGATGCAGAAAATGCTCAAGGAGCAGCCAGGCAGGCCTGAGTTCTATGTAGATTGGTCCTTATTGGTGACTGGGGGGTAGGACGAGAATAAAAGAGTGACAGAGACAAGCAGCTGCTGGGTCCCACCCTCACGTGCAGGGGACCTCGTCTGGGAGGCCCTGCTCCCTAAAATAAGGAGTGAACTTAGCAGTGCCTCTCCAGGAGTGGTGAGTCTCACTAGGAGTTGCAAAGCATCTGCCATGTCTGTCCAGGGTAGGTCAATGCAAAGGGACAGGGAGAGAAGGGGGGTGAGAGGAGGGAGGAAATCAACAGAAGATGGGGACAATATCCAGGGCCTCTCAGGACACAATTCAGCAAATTCCCTTAGAAAGGGAGGGTGGAGGGAGGCATCACCAGCTGCTGGGAATCCCACTGATGGCAAGAATAGGGAGGGAGGGAGGCTTCCCTCCCTTTTTCAAAACATCTATGAACAAATCCTTAAGACATGGGTAAAGCAATGGCTGGGGCTGGGGCTCAGTGGAAGACCGCTTGCCTAGTATGCATGAGGCTCTGGGTTTGATCCTGAACAACACATTAAAATAAAATTTATAAAAACCTAAATAAACAAAATATACTAAAAAAAAAAAGAAGAAAAAGAAAAGAAAGAAAGAAAAAGAGTAAAGCAAGAACTACCTGAGGATTAATAACCCCAAAACATGCCCACAGTTAAAGCTACCTGCCCACCTCCTCAGCTTGCAAACCTATCCCCCTCCGCAACAAAACAGTCTCCCCAGTGCTGGGATTATTACTCCCTTCCTATAACCCTCTTTATTTATTTATTTTGGTGCTGGGTATTGAACCCAGGGTTGCCTAACCAGTCACATTCCAAGACCTTTTTATTTTTTGAGACAGAGTCTCACTAAATTGCTGAGGCCTTGCTAACTTGTTGAGACTGGCTTTAAACTTGCAATCCTGCCTCAGCCTCCAGAGCCGCTGGGATTACAGGTGTGCGCCACCGTGCACAGCTCCAATAACACTTTTGAACAGTACAGCATCCTTACTCAGACTGAATCAAGAAAATGTGTGTTGGCATGTCTTAGTCAAGTTCCTGGCTGGCTTGAGGGCCACATCACATTGACCTAGTCCCTGCCCCAGAGCTGGGACAGACAATAGCAATGCTGGACATCCAGGAAAAACAGAGAAGCAGAACTTGGAAATATGGTTCCAATCTCATTGGAAGGTACTGAGTGGGAAGAGTATTACCCTTGCTTGGAACATAGCAGAGGAGCCTGATGGCTCCCCCAGGATCCTGCTGGCCCACAGGAGGGGAAGGGTGGTGGTGATCCCAACACCTGTACCCAGCCTCCCCATGCAAGTGACCCATTTTAGTCTCTCCTGGCCATATGCAGGTGTTTCTGGGAAGGAGGCCAAATGGATCTGAGGTAACTGCTCTCTCCTGGGGACTTGGGCCTTCACTTGCACAACAGATCAATAGTCTGTGTTTGCAATGGTGAGGCAGATAAAACAGACAGAACTGACACCATATACACGGTGGGTGCAAACCTAAACCAGAATCTAAACCTAAACCTACACATGGGCAATTGAAACCCACATCCAGGTTCATAAATCTTGTAATCAAAGAACTTAGGTAGAAACCATAGCCTGAAATCTCCTGTTTCCACTTTATGAAGGAGCTGGGTTGTTTTTTTTCTGGGTCAGTATGGGGTGGATTCAGATGGAGGAAGACATGCTAGAAGCATCCTGCCAACATTCATTCAACATTTACGATGTTTCAGTCACTGTGCTGGGTCAGGGTACAGAAAGCACTAATAGGGCAGGGTTAGGAAGAGATGGTAAACAATTAAAACTGAGTTCTGGAAAAAATTAAAGGAGTAAAAAAAAAAAAAAAGCCAAAATGAGGAACAGAGGAATAGATACTTAACAGGACATAACAGAAAACAAATATTAAAATGTCAGTCCTCATTGAAGGGAGATCAGTAAAGAAAAGGGACCAGGGGAGGGAGGAGGAAAGGGGAAGAGAAAAATACTGGGAAATTATATTGGCCAAATTATATTGTTGTACTGTGTGCATGTTCAAATATCTCACAACAAATCCCACTATTATGTAAAACTAAATGCATCAATAAAAAATATGGAAAAAAGTAAAAATAAGATGTCAGACCTTCATACAAATACACTAATAATTACATTAAATGTTAACGGACAAAGCATCTTAATTAAAAGCAGAGATTGTCAGAATAAGCAAAACTCAACAATATGCCCTTTGTATTACAAAATCTTTAAAAAGCCTGAATAAGGTTGGGGCTGGTGGCTCAGGGGTAGAGTGCGTGCCTAGCATGCATGAGGCACTGGGTTTGATCCCCCAGCATGAAATAATAATAAACAAATAAATAAAAGTATTGTGTCCATCTACAACTAAAAAAATGTTAAAAAGGCCTGGATAAAAATATGCTAATGGAAATACAGAAAAAGAAGGCTGAAATAGTTATATTAATATCTTATGAAGTGAGCTTCAAAACAAAGAATATCAGAAGAAAATAAGAGAGACATTTCATAATGATTATGTAATTGCTCAGAAAATCATAATAATTATAAATGTATCTATATCAGAATACATAAACCTACAAAATGAATTGAAAAGTAGACAATTCCACAGTTGTAATAGGAGATTTGATTGCTCTCTTTTAGCAACCAATAAAACAATTAGGCAAAACCCCAAAACAACAAAGACCATGATCAGTGATTCTCAAAGTGTAGTCAAGAGAACCTCTGATGGTTCCTGAGACCCTTATAGGATATCCACAAAATAAAAATTTTTTTCATAAGTTCATAAGATCTTATTTTACTTTTTCACCCTAATATTTTTATAAGTATACTGTGAAATTTTCTAGAGGTTACAAGATACTACAACAAATTGAAAGCAAGACCCAGCTGTGTTTTATTTAACCTACACTGAAGAGATTTGCAAACTCAGTTATGCATCATTTAAGAATGAGGACACATTCTGAGAAATGTGTCATTAGACGATATTTTCATTCTAAGAACATCAAGAGGTATCATTTTTGTTCATTGTAAAAGCGTACTTACACAAACCTAGACAGTATAGCCTACCACATATGTAGGGTATGAGGTAGATAACAGCATACATATGGCTAATTGCTGATAGAAATATTTTTATACAGCACATGACTATATGCAAAGCAATTCAACTTTTCTCACTAAATTTTGTTTCAGAAATCATAGATGTTGTACATATTTGGTAGTCTGTTTTTATAAAATTTTACCTTTTATGCTAATGATATTATTATTATTATTATTATATTTTATTTTTTGGTGGTACTAGGGATTGAATTTGGGGTGGGGCCTAACATTTGCTAGGCAAGCAGTGTGCCACTGAGCTACATTCTAGCCCTTTTTAAAAAACTTTATTTTGAGACAGGGTCTCACTAAATTGCCTCGGTTGGCCTCAAACTTGCAATCTGCCTCAGTGTCTAGAGTATCCTGGATTACAGGCAAAGTCCCTACTCACTGTACCATGCATATTGTTGCTATTTTTAAAGGAAGCAACTACAGAATACACATCCTCTTCACATACATAGGATGCATTCATTAAAATCAAGTATATGATAGGCCATAAAAAAAAGTCTCAATAAATTTATAAGAACTGAGACCATATAGAGCATGTTCTCTGATCACAGTGGAATCAATAGCAAGACAATATGGAAATCAGTCACAACATGACATCAATATGACACCCGAAATAGTTGGAAATTAAATAATATACTTCTAAATATCACACAAGGTAAAAGTATTAATCACAAGAGAAATTAGAAAAGTTTCAAAGTGAATGATAGCAATACACAGTATATCTAAAGTTATGAGGTACAGCTAAAGCAGTAATGAGAGGAAAAGTCATATCTTTAAATCTTTTTCTATATGTGTGATGTATATACACATAATCTATATACATTAAAATATACATATATGCATGTTTATGTGTGTGTGTGTTTGTGGTGTGTATGTGTGTGTGTGTGTGTGTGTGTGTGTGTGTGTATGGAAGAAAGATTTTAAATCAATGACCTGTTTCTACCTCAAAAGCCAGAAGGAGAAAGATGAAGGGAAATGTTAGTACAACTCTTCTTGTTCTCTCTAGAATGGAGTGGTACATCTCTAGGGTCAGTCTGGAGTGAGTGACAAATGCGCCATGTCTTAAAATGCCTCAAATTGTTCATTCCTTCTAAGTCAATTTTTCTTTCCCTGAACTGTTATCATGACAGCCACTGGCAAACTATAGCCCTAGGATAGAGAGAATTTTTCAATGTTACCCTACCCCAGGTCCACAACCTGTGAGCCCCTCCTGAAGTACTTCCCCCTAGCCTGCCTCAACCAAGAAATTCCCCTCCCATGTCCTCTCTCTGGTTTAGGCACACTTTGCCCATATCTCTCCATTTGTTTACATAGTCTCTGAATACCTACAATTAGCTTAGTAAGACAGGGATTCTATAACATAGCTGTAGTTGAGACCAAGTTCTACAAATTATAGGCATCCTAGGCTAAGCCATTTGTTCTCTTTGAAACTCTCTGTACCATCTGAAAAATAGGAACAACACAGCTATCTCCTACTCTACAAGCTTGTCATAAAGGCTGAATTGAATCACACATGCAAAAGGCCTAGCCTAGAATCTAGTCTTTGGCAGGGAGCCATGACTTTGGGCAAGATCCTGGAGAGAGGGACACTGACCCTGCCCCTACCCTGCTCACAGAATGTTCCTCACTCCCACACCAGGGACATGCACGGTTCCCTTGCCCCGCACCCTCTTCCTCACCTTGGAGCCTCAGGCTCTCCTGGTACTGGATGATGAAGTATTCCTGGGTCTGCTGCAGCTTCTTCAGCTCATTCTCTGTGTCCTGTGTGACCAGTCGCAGCTCTTCAAAGGTCTGGTTGATCTGAAGGTGCTTCTGGGACATGGCGTCAACCAGGATCCCGGCAGGAGAGCTGCACTAGAGACAAATTGAGGGGAAGTCACAAGGGACGAGGAGTAGAGTGCTGGGCAGAGAAGAGGGGAGAAAACCTCGGGCCTTGGGGAACGCTAATGCTATGACCCCAAACTCCAAACCTGGGGTGAGAAGGGTCACCTGAGTCAGAAAGACAGTCATTTGCCAGAATTGGGGTAGAAAGGAGAAAGAAAGAAGAGAAACAAGTGGGGTAGTAATGGCATCTTCATAGAAGAAATTTCTATTTCAGAACAAGCCTCCGCCAGAGTATCCTAAAGAGGGTTCACTGAATTTCCTTTGGAGAAATGTCCAACTCTACAGGCCAGATGTCAACTGGGTCTTCTACTGATGGGGACAACTCCGTATTCCAGGTTTATTCACTGAGCTAATCTAGAAGTGCTGACGCTTCAGAGCATGGCATGGCTCTTGAACACACACCATCCACACTGCACCCGAGACCTTCTTATGACTCAAGGAAGAGCGAGGAGACCAAACTTCAAACAGGTGGTATCCTGGGGACACCAAAATGAAGTTATCAGGGATGTACCAAGAAGGCCTCCTTGGACCTCAGCGATCCTTTAACACCTAACTGAATTCACAGACTTTCCAATGAAATGTTCTCAGAAAAAAAAAAATCCAAACTCTTTTGTATAGTTTCAGCCAGCTTAAAGGACAGCCTTTACCTCCTTCCTCTACCCAGATCCCCTGCTGCCTGACTACACCAGCAACCTGGACTTTCTATCTCTGTTCCTTGAATACAAAAGCACGTACCTGCCTCAGGGCCTTTGCCTTTGCTGTTCCATCATCAGTCTAGAACATTCTGACACCAAATCCTTCTGAGGCAAGTCCTTTAACTCATTCCTTTTCAGAGGGGCCTTCCCTGTGGTGCCAATTTACAGCAACACTACTTTCTTTCATTCTTTGGTCCTGGAGATTGAACTCAGGGGAACTTAACCACTGAGCTACATCCCGGCCCTTTTTTGAATTTTATTTAGAGACAGGGTCTCACTGAGTTGCTTGTGTCTCTCTAAGCTGCTGAGGCTGGCTTTGAACTCAAGATCCTCCTGTCTCAGCCTCCTGCATCACGGGGATTACAGACATGTGCCATTAAGCCTGGTAGCAGCATGATTCTTATCTGAAAGTGCCTTTTATTTGTATTTTCACTTTTTGCTAGTCTGTTTTCTTGCATAAGGATGTGAGTTTCCCCAAGTGCTATGACCTCTCTGTCCCTGAGGCTTTGAACACCAGTTTGATGGAAGGGAGAAGGACTGTGCCCCTGATATGACCACACCAGTACTTCAGACACGCGTTTCTCAATCAGGGCTGCATCCTTTCTATGTCCACAGGTAGCTCTGTGATTATAAGTTCAGGACACAAGTGTTATATTGCAAGACCCTCTGTAACCTGGCCTCTGCTCCCTCTCCAACTTTACCCATTTACTCCTCAGCTGGCTCCCTTCTCCTCAGCTACACTGGCTACTTGCAAGACTTCAAATGTGACTCCATGGCTGAAGCCTTCCTGCCCTCCCATCTGCTGTTACTCCGAGCCATAAAACTCATCCTTCCTCCCTTCCTCCTTCTTGCCCCACCCCTTCCTCAAGACACTGCCCTGCCAGCTGCCTCAATCTGAAATGGCACTTTCCCCATATATGTCCCCTTAGCACTTGGCTCACCTCTGGAGAATCTGTCTTTGCTGAGACTCCTTGTGGGCAGGGACAAAGCCTTTATCTGTTTCTCCTGTCCCAGCCCAGCATCAGACACATAGTAGGACCTCAATAAACATCTACTGAGTGAACTGTAAAATCCCTGCAATAGGTGTCCATAACATAAATAAATAATACCACTGTGATTCATGCACTGCCCTAAGGTCTTTCATTACGTCACTTTACAAAATTAATTTTGCTTTACTGCAGATAATACAAGATTTTCCATTGTCCATGCAGATGTTTGCTGCCGTTAGATTTTAGAAGGTGAGGGGCTGGGGATATAGCTCAGTTGGTAGAGGGCTTGCCTCACATGCATAAGGCCCTGGGTTCAATCCCCAGCACCACAAAAAAAAAAAAAAAGAAAAAAAAAGATTTCAGAAAGTGGAGATAGGTCTCCCTCCTGCTCCCTGGGTCTTGCTTTTCTTAGCCTGCCTGTCTTCCATCTTCTAAACCTTGCCTTTGGTGTTCCTCACAGACACCAGCAGGGTACCATTTCTTATTTTGGTCCCAGTCCTATTTATTGAATATCAAATCTTTTTCCCTGGTGATTTGTAATGCCATCTCTGACAAAGAGGTAGTTTGCAGGTGTGTGTGTGTGTGCGTGCATGCATGTGTGTTTAGGTTTCCTCTTTTGTTTCATTGGTATGTTTGTCCAACCTTGGCACACATGGTATTTCATTTACTTGTCATAATAACCCTATAAGGTAGGTACACCTATTTTACAATGGAAGGGATCTGGGGATGAGCTCAATGGTAGAGTGCTTGCACAGCATACATGATGGCGTGGGTTCAATACCTACCTAGCACTATGAAGAAAAGAGAGAAAAAAGAAGAAAAAGAGATTCAGAGAGGTTAAGTAACTTGCTCAAGACACAAGATTGGTAAATGGTTGAGCAGGGGACTGAACCCGGGGTCACTCCACACCACATGCAGCACTGCCTCTCACATTTTCCCAAGTCTCCTATTTCTTTGGTGTTCTCCACATGCCGGAGTTTTGCAAAAACACAGTGTGTCAGGGGAGGAGGGCATGAGGTGGCAGGACTCGCCAGCTCCTCTTCCCACACCCCCAGGGCACTCACATTGTTGGCTTCTCGGACCAGCCTCTGTTCATTGTACAGAATGTGCCGGATGCAGCGGACCAGTTCCATGGGGCAACGGTCATATGTGTTCTGAAAGAAGGCAATGGCAGCCACCAGTGGTCACCCTCTGCTCCAATCATGCAGATCCCTGCCACCTCTGCCCCTTCTTCTCCTTCAGCCCCTGCCTCAGCTTTTCCCAGGAAGCCCCAGGAGCCATCATTAGATACCTCTATCTCTCTTTTATTCCTCATAAATTTTTTTCTTTGGTTTGCAGTGACAGAAAACTCAGTTTACAAAGCACTTTCAATCTAACACTTCCTTTGACTTTCACAGCATGGAAACTCTATGACATAAAGAAATTATTATCCCCTTTTATGAACAAGAAAACTGATATTCAGAGAGGCTAAGTACTTGTCCAGAGTCAAATCAATGAGAGAGTAGATGACTCAAGGCCCAGAGCATCCGCTGCCAATGTCAAGGTACTTTCTACCATACGCCTGCCCCTGGGTTCCTATTTTGTTTCCCCTCAGGTTTCTCCTGTTTCCTTCCCCTTCTGGGATGGACTTTCATTTCCCTGGTACTCTGGATTTAAGAGGGGTTCTCTAAGAAAAACAAAGGGAGTTCCAATAAATGCTTGACCATGATTACCACCCACACCCCTTTCCTGCTTTACAAAACATCCTTCTCTTCCTCCATACTCCCCCCAGAGGCTACGTCTTTCTTCCAACCCTTAATTCAAAGCCCTTTTATCCAGTTCTTGCCTCCCAGGCGACTCTGTTCTTCAGCAACTGTCCTGCCTATAACAAAAAGAGCCCCAAGAGGGATGCCTCCTTCCCTATTTCTAGAATCTGCCAGCCTTCCTTTCTCTAGCAAAGGTATCCTGACTCGGTCTCCTCTATCCCTTCTGTTTGATCTGTCCACAACGCGGGTTCACTCATTGCACACACACTCCTATCTCTTGCTTTGTAATAAATTAAGGGAACCCAATAGGTCTGACTTAGAAAGAGGGGGTGGGGGAAATTGAAGAAAAGTTGCCACTAAGCTCCTGGTCACACGGTGAGTCAGTGGCCAGGCCAGCAAAACCCCCAGAGGTTCTGATGCTAAAATAAGAAGGCAGACGTGCCTCCCTGCTGGTGACCTGGTGTTCACACCCACCTGGAGCTGCGTGGCATAGTGCCCCAGCTTGATCTTCAGCAAAAACCCATCTTCCCCCACCTGGTGCTCCGCCTTCTTCTGCAGCTCTTGCACCAGGCCCTCCAGGAGCTGGGCGGCTTGGGCTCGGTCCTGGGGATTGTCCAGGTCAATGGCATCCCTGGGGGCAGAGCGGGGGCGGGGGGGGGGAGGCTTACTGTGGCACCTCCTTGGGCAAGGAGGTCAGGCACTAAAAGTGTGACATGGAAATTCCAGGCTCTTAACTAAAGGGTGCTCCAGGGCCCACAGAACTTGTTCTTAGCAGCTTAGAATTTAGAAACATTCTCTGTCCCCTCGGAGGCTCCAATTTCCCTGTTCCCCTTTCCCAGGGACACCGCCCCTTCCGCAGAGAACAGACAGGACCAGCAGAGTCACAAGAAACTATAAAGAGGAGATCTAGAGACCAAGGAGACCTGGATGGTAGAGACGTCCTACCATGGCTGGCTTTCAATCCACTGTGCCAAGTAGTGCCGGACCTCGATGGGGAAGTGCTGTCCATACAGCACCTGCATCTGGCGCAGTGCATCTCCCTGCAGCTGCTGGGCCTGAATCCAGCCCGCCATGGCCTTCACCTAGGGCAAACAGAGGGCTTAAGAGGCGCCTCCTACAGCAGGGACCTGACCAGCCCTCTCATGCCCACCGGAGAACGACAGTCTCCCCAAGACACACTTTTCCTGTGAGGGAAGAAAAGACAGTAAGGAGGGGAAGACCGCCCTTCCCCTCCAACAAGGAACCCGCTGAGGTTTGGGGTGGGGTATGGAGAGGCAGGTGCCCTCCTCCTCTTCCTCTCCCCTCACCCTACTGGGGCTTCCCCAGAGTGGGGGGGACAGCTTAGAAACTGAAAGAGAAACTTGACAGCAGAGGCCCATATGCCCTTAGGAGAGGGCTGCAAAAATCCCCCTCCCTGCCTTGGACCCTGACTCTTAATTTCTAAAAGGGAGATGCTCCAGTTCAAAATTAGGGCAACACAGTAATTGCCCGGTTCCTTCAGGCACGCGGCTGAGGCTGTCAAAGAGAACGGGTTGGGGAGATGGATACTGGTCTCTGGCATGCCCCTCGGTTGTGCTCCAGTGACACCCTCTCTCCGGGTCCGGCCCGACAGCGCTCTCCTCCACTGCGTGCCAGGACAGTGCCCACGGGGGACCGCTTCCCTTCATCTTGGCGACTGGTCCCTCGTCCCTCTTCCGCTCTACACTCTGCACGAAACTCCCTCTTCAAGCCGGAGCGATCTCTGCTTGGTTCCCAGCCGTCGGGCTCCAGGGTGGTTGGTGCCTGGGTGCCGGCCGGGCCAACAGTCGCGTGGCCCTCCCAGCACGCCGCCCCGGCCGCGCCGCTGGCCACCCACCTGGTGGGGCCGAGCCCTCTGGCGGCGAGCTCGGCTCTGCGCCCGCGGCTCCTGCTCGGGGTCCGGACTCTCGGGGAAGGCGGCAGCGGTGGCGGTGGCGGCGGCGGCGGCTGTTACTACAGGAAGGAGCAGAGAGCAGCGATTTCCTCCTCAAAGGTCAGCTGCCTCTGATAGACCATACACAGCGCGCGAGCGCTCGCCAGCACCCCTCCCAGCCCCTGTCGCTCCCTCTCTGCCTCCGCCCTCGGTCGCCGGCTCCGGGCGAGTGCGCAGCGGCG